CGTTGATTCACAACTATACTTAAACATGAAAACAATAAACAAAAATAAGAAAAAATCCTGAAGCTATATACAGAAAACAGTTGAAACCTAACCTGAACAAAATAAACTATGAAATCTCCACAAATATTCTTAAATGCTTATAATTTATAACAGAATCCATTGGTTTATATCAACGGCTTCCCATACTTAATACTTCTTATTTTCACTCTCGCGTGGTCATGAGCTACGGTGTGATTTTTTATTCCAGCGTCTCGTATGCATGGTTTTGTCGTTGCTTGGAAATCTTCCATGTAAACATAAACAGACTATCATTATTGTTTTGTCCATGTATGATTTAATATATTGTAATGTAATTGTCATCTTTGATAATGGCATATGTAAGCCGAAAGCTTAGATACGATTCAAAAAATATGTATCAATATTGTGCTTTTCTGTCTTCTTTTAATGATAATGTTATTAAGCTTATCGGATGATATCAACAGAATTTAGATAAAATATGCAAAAAATGTCTATATTATTTAATTTTTTTTTATATTTAAATTTTAATTATTAGACCCTATTTGAATCAAATAGTCCAGATCCAGGAATAAAATCCCGTTTAAACGTTCATACCCCAGAGGGAATATTTTCTTCCTAAACTGATCCCAAACCAACCAGCTTTTCTAAAAAATGCAACAGGAGGCGTTGCACACACACACACACACACACACACACACACACACACACACACACACACACACACACACACACACACACATATATATATATATATATATATATATATATATATATATTAGAACTGCAATTTTGTTACATCTTTCTTTCTATTTAAATTTTAATTATTAGACCCTGTTTGAATCAAATAGACAAGATCCAGGAAAAAAATCTTGTTTAAAAGGTCATATCCCAGCGGGTATATTTTCTTCCCCTTTTAACAAATTTAATAGTAGAAGTAAAAGCAAAACTAAAGATTATAGATTTAGTTCTCAACATCGTGTTAAGGGGATCAGTAAAATCGTAATGCCTGTAATTCGTTCATTACAACAAATTTATAGGAACCACCAAATCATAACAAAAGGAAAAACATTCTCTACGTATTTCCTATTAAATCCTTTCCTTGGTTACCTCCCTTCTCAACCGTTATACGAAGACCAATTAAAAATTGATGCCTTTCTTAAAATTTATGTTTTAATCGAGTTTACTCCAAGCAAGGCAGTAAGGCCGACATGATGCAAGGGATTACTTGGTGTGGAAGAGTTAGAAGCAGGAACATTGCTATGGAGCGAGAACAGAGAAAAATCAGATAGCGATTGGCATTGCATTTAAATTTTTGCAGATTGGAGTTGGTTTGAAAGCATGCAGCCGAATGTTAGACATTTTCATGACGGTCGTCCTCGAGTATAGAATCCAGAGGTTGGCAGTGAATATTTCGGAGACAGTAGGAAAGCGTAGTTTAGGTTCGTAGTGGATATCGCAGCAGAGCGTAGTTCTTCCTTCTGTCGTGTTCGCCTGACAAGTTGGCTCTGGTTCTTCCGGTAGAGTAAACAAAGGTGGCCACCTTTATACACGACGGATACAGTGTTCTGCGGCTCCTGATTGGTTAATCTTTTATTGGTAGACTATAAAGGGAAATAAATCATTTTGACTCGCTCACTAGTTATAGATATTATATACCCAAAGAACCATAACACCGAATGGGAGTTGCACAAGCGAGACTTGGGAGGATATAAACTGTTAGCACAGAATTTACATTTGCATCTAGCTAGCTCGACTTTATATTGGTGAGACCTTGTCGGCAGTCGAGTATGGCCCTTAGATTCGAAGAGTCTAAGCACCATATCAAAGAGCTCATCCGAACAATTACGATGAAAGTATTTATAGAAACGACAAACGAAGGCAACCCAATGGCGGTGGGAAAATACAACCGATTTGATATAAGTAGCAGACACATTGTAACAACATGAACACAAGGGTCTCAGTATTTCAAATCTAATACTCGACAGAGAGTCAGTCAATAAATAATGCCTCTTCTTCGTTATTTGCAACGGGTTTAATAATAGTGTGGAATACCGTTAAAGAATTTAAAAAAAAATGTAGTAGATTTAAGTTGTATTAGTAAAACTCAAAATTAACTCGTTTATATGCACAACATCAGCTCCAATTTGAATTTCCATATTCGTATATGTTAACCAATCAGAGAGGTTAATTGTAAGCGCGTGGAAACCTTTGTAATTTTCAGACAGCAATGTTTATTGCTACGAAATTTTGAAGGCTCTCTCCAGAAAATGATCAATAATGTTTTCACTCCTAAAATTAGATATTTAAAAACTGGGAAAAAATATCTATTAATCAATAAACTTATGAGTTTAATAAAATCTTAAGTTTTAGATTTTTACGGGGTCGATTTCTCGGTTATAAAATGTTGTATTAGTTCACAAAAATTGTTTTTTTTTCAGTTTTTCCATGATCCTATCACCAGCGTTGTTCGTTCGTTTACAAAAACTGAAACTCTGAAACCTTAGTTAATTACTCACATTTTCACATATTTATTCGTGTATACTATTTTAAAAAAAAAAAAAAAATTAATAGCTTAGCGATGTTGAGTTAAGAAACACAAAAACATACAAACCGAGTTATTTTACAGCAGTATTAATGCAGCAATCGTTCGCTGACTGCTTATTGCTGCTACTAGAAAATTACACGCATACATAAAACAACAGAAATAAGTGACACGCCCACATTCTCATATGTAGGCGCATTCTATTTCTATCCTATAAACGCAATTGATTCGGTTGTATTGAAAAATAATGCAAACATATATTTTTGTGTGAAGCTATTTCGCAAAGAAATTTGAGAATTAATTTCTTTCAGTTTGAAAGAAAATTAATTCGAAATAATAATAAAAAATATTTAAATTTTCATTCACTCACGTCTAAACCGCTACAAATAAAATAACAAAAATGATGACAAAATAAAGACAAACATCTCAGTATTTCAAATCTAGTTCTGAACATAACTCCTTTTCTTCTGATTCATCGTTGGAGGTTCAGTCCAAATGATGCATGTTTCTTAGTTTCAAGGACTCTGATAGTAGAAGCAAATCAAGTTGCCTCATATCTTTTCAGTGGTGGTTGTCTATTTCAAAAATCGCTGTTCTATGAGCGTCTCCTTCATTAGTCCAAACAGATTAATGTCTGAGTGTTCCAGGTCAGGAATGTAGGTTACAGATGAAAAAAATGCCTAGTTTTGCGCTCTAGTTACTTGGTTGGCTGATAAGCTAGCGTTAAGCCTTGCATTGCCACATTGAAAAAGCACATCACATATTCAAAAGAGATCTAGATTGAAGAAGCCTTGCTCTAAGTTTTGACAATGTGCTTAAATAGGAGTCATAACTGATTGTTCTGCCGTCTGTCATAAACTCTAAGAGCATATCTCCTTTCTCTTTCCAGAACACATTTGCCATCACCTTTCCCGCGGAACAGGTTACTTTTCGGAGTGCCATCTTCAAGGATCCAAAAAGATAAAAATGTAAAGGAACTCTAAAATTCAGACGCTAACCTTTAGACATTGGAGAATTTCAATCTTGGAATAATTATTATTCTGACATATGTAAGACTCTCAACCTATATGTCCTTATCCTCAATCGTATAAGCAGCTGGCCTGCCACTGTGGAGCCTTTTACTAGAGTCAGTTTTGGTTTTCTCTCTAGGATTACTATTAAGTTCTTCTTAGGATTACATCAGCTACAGACTTGCTGTAAATATTCTCCACGTATTGTGAATGTTTGTAGCAGATAGTTTTCTTTCTACAAACATAAATTAAGTTATAGATATTATGATAGCTAGATAAGTTTTTAGGTTTATCCAGCGGCCAGCCATTTGGAAATAGATTTATAAGAAGGATGAGAGAAGATAATTCCTCAATTATATTGTCTGAGTTTCAAAAAAATTCTAGTTCTGATTAATGCATTTAAATTTAAATTCGAACCGGCATTGCTAAATTAAAGTCACTTGGCTGTATAGTTTAGAAATTAAAAAAAAAAAATAGTGCTTTACTTAAGTAATGAAATAATTAACGTTTTAATAAACTAAATTTTAGCAGTAAGAGACGAATTAATCTTAATAGAGACAGAAAGTATAAAAGGAAACGAATTACAACTAGTAATTGTGGTTGACAGCCATTGAAACAGCCAGACGTCTTTACCAGCTCCGACGCCATGTTGGGCTGCTGTGGAGATTACATAGCGAATAAGTTTAACCGTTTCGGGACAAATAATTCTAGCATAAAGTGGCAGAATGGAATTTAAACATTTTATGCTCCCCGGCCTGAAATTAGAGTGACATTTAAGCAAGAGTTGTGGCTTCAGCTAACGTCAAAAATATTGCCGGTTCTATAATGCAACGAATGGTGAATACGTGATATTAATTCTAGAGTATTTACTCCGCTCCAATACCAGTGCAATTTTAATATAGATGTCCGACAAAAATACCAGCAAATGGGCGCTGGGTTAAAAAAAAAAAACACAGATCATATTCAAATTAAGAATGATTACCACCAGATTCTCCTTTTCAGTCCATTGCTAGAAAATTGCGTTCGTATCTAACTAGTTATCCATTTGCCAGACTTGGCGAAATTTGTTTGCTATCTGTAACTGGTATCTGCCGCCAGGTACTATTAAATGGGTTATACGCATTGATTTCGTATCATAATAAAGGCGGGTAGTTGCCCCCTCCCCCAAATTTAACTCAGTAATCTCGCAAGGTCTAATTATTTTCTTCTCTTCAACGCAGTCTCCTCGAAGCCTGTCTGTCTGTTTTATTTGCTTTGCTATTGTTACTTCCTTACGAATTCATCCGAAAGTTAGTTGGTGTCACTTGAGACCAAATAAAATCCTGCACGTCTGAAGATGTTTTCAAAGGGTCACAAGCAATATTCTCAGGCAATTGCATCTACAAACACTTCAGATTATCAAAAAGATCAATAATAGCAATTGTGATCAGTTTTTCTTCACTCAAACACTTTCGATTTTTCAAATATCTATCTATCTATCTATCTATCTATCTATCTATCTATCTATCTATCTATCTATCTATCTCAGTCTGTTCATATCTCTATCTCCCTCTACCTCTACCCCCCTCTCTCTCTATCTATCTATCTATATATGTGTGTGTGTGGGGGGTGTATTTATCTAATTTTGTTCATATCTATCTATCTATCTATCTATCTATCTATCTATCTATCTATCTATCTATCTATCTATCTATCTCAGTCTGTTCATATCTCTATCTCCCTCTACCTCTACCCCCCCCCTCTATCTATCTATCTATATATGTGTGTGTGGGGGTGTGTATTATATAATTTTGTTCATATCTATCTATCTATCTATCTATCTATCTATCTCAGTCTGTTCATATCTCTATCTCCCCTCACTCTCTCTCTCTCTCTCTATCTATCTATCTATCTATGTGTGTGTGGGGCGTATGTATTTATCTAATTTTGTTCATATCTATCTATCTATCTATCTATCTATCTATCTATCTATCTATCTATCTCAGTCTGTTCTATCTAATTCTCTCTCTCTCTCTTTCTCTCTCTATATATAACACATATATATGCATATATATATATATATATATATATATATATATATATATATTTATCTAATTTTGTTCATATCTATCTATCTATCTATCTATCTATCCTACTGTTCCTATCTAATTCTATCTATCTCAGTCTGTTCTATATCTCTCCTATATATATATATATATATATATATATATATATATATATATATATATATTTCTTCCCATCTATCTATCATCTATCTATCTATCTATCTATCTATCTATCTATCTGTCTATATCTTCTATCCCTATATATATATATATATATATATATATATATATATATATATATATCTATATATCTTTATATATATATATATATATATATGTGTGTGTGTGTGTGTGTGTGTGTGTGTGTATGTGTGTGTGTGTGTGTGTGTGTGTTTGTATCTTAGCCGGTTTACATCTATATATCTATCTCACCACACGGTCCCTTTGTATGTGAAATGGACACCTGCGTGGTTTGGGGATACCCCTGCTGTTTCTGGAAATAAAGAGTTATTTAGTAGTAGGGACCGACTGTATAACCAATGGGCACGTGCCAATGAAAGGAACAAAACTAGCAACATTGTATGGAAGGCTTGAGTAGCCATTCATTATTGCAGCCGGACAGAAAGAATTGTAACTGGTTCCCAGTGAAATGTGAGGGGACAGAATAAAGATGGAGTTTAACAAAAGGCGATACATTAGTATGTGCACCTGCAAATTATTTTACTCTAAGTAAGCAAGAACACACACACACACACACACACACACACACACACACACACACATATATATATATATATATATATATATATATATATATATATATCTTTGTGTGTGTGTGTATTTTCGCATGTGTGCGTGAGTGGATGGAGAGAAAGCAAACAAATATTTTGACATATATCATGTAAGTATAGCGTCAATTCTTATTCCATTTGAGTCTAGTTTCGTACGCGAAATGAGTTTGTCAACTCTGTCGGTCGAAAATAAGAAATGGCTCTGTGAAACAAAAAACTTTTGTTGTTGTTGTTGCTTGAAGTAACCCTCCCCACACACATTTAAGTGTTAGAAATCTTTGATTACATTGTTATTATTCAACTGTGAAATTACCCCCCACACACACATTATTTATTGAAACATACATATATATTCATTAATACATGTTTCATTAAATCATATAGTTTTGTCTATTTTCACCAAAATTTATTTATTTTAAGCAAAAAATGCTGCCTAAATACACACAATAAATATATATATAGAGAGAGAGAGATACACAAATATTATAATTAATTCATCGCGTCTGATAGAAACCTCAAAAAATGCAGAAATCACTGGACGGCCGTTTCGTCCTATATTTGGGACTCATCAGCAGTGCGCATCCACTACAGAGAATTGAACCCGGACAATTAGGTTAGCAAACGGCAAACGTCGGAACAGTTGGTATGACGTTTGTTTGATAACCTAATTGTCCGGGTTCAATTCTCGTTAGTGGATGCGCACTGTGATGAGTCCCAAATATAGGACGAAACGGCCGTCCAGTGATTTCTGCATTCTTTTGAGGTTTCCTTCAGACTCGATGGATTATTTAATTATAATTATCAAATCCTCCTAATAATTTATATATATATATATATATAAATCCGGCAATTTATTTATTAAAGACATTTTTATGTTTAACGTTTTTTTTTTTTATAGATACAAGTATTTAAGTAAATGCTCTGTTTATAATAAAGTGTATTAAATAACATTTACCGGCCTAAATGTCCGAGAAATTTTCATAGAAAATATTCGTCCTTTGACAGGATTCGAACCTGCATCCTATACGGAACCGTCATTTACGCTGACGTGCCTTACCGATTGGCCACAAAGGAGCGTTCGGTAGGCAAGGTCGAATTTACTGCTTATAAACTTCAATCTTCCATGAATCTAGTACATTCATAACTGCTCATGGTGTATCAAATGTAAACAAATGACGTCATATATTAAGAAATGGACAAAGTCCGACAATTTATTTATTAAAGACATTTTTATGTTTAACGTTCTTTTTTATAGATACCGAACGCTCCTTCCAAATGGAAGCTTGCATGAGTCCTAAAATCTTAACCTTTTCAAGCCAGTTATTTTCCTTTCATATCTCTATAAACTGCGTATCTTACTCAGATGAGTCTTACTCAAGTCTACCTTGAGTTGCTTTTGGGTCTTGTGCAAGGAACATCATTTTGAAAAATGTAAGCAAGTAAAACCAAATTTGTTTTCATATACGGGTTTGACTTCCGAGTTTTCTTTCTCTCAGACGTGTTGCCAATGTAGGAAAGACGCCTTTTTAATTCGGATGGTTGATGCCTTTTCCAACAGCATTAGTTCGAACTCGGCACGCCGATTCCGTTTTTTTGCACCGATAACCGCTACCCTGTCTACATACCTTGTAAATAGAGAGGCTTTAATAATGTACGTAAAAATGATAACCTATTAGTCTCCTGCGCTTTTACTTTACAAGTAAACGAATCCCAGATAAGATCATGAAATCAAAAACAAAAAAGATTTCCACGATTTTAAATCACAGGAAATATATTTGTAGAAGGTGGAAGAAGATAAGCAAAGAAAAAAAAAAAGAAAGATGGCGTCAGGAAGAAAAGGAGATAGAAGAAAAGAAAATCTCCAAAGGAACATTTAATTTTCCGAGGCTTATATAAATAGAATCTTGAAATTGACAAAGCAAAACCTCGCAGGTCACGAAAAACAAATTCTTTTCATATTACTACCTCCCTTTCTTTCTTTCTTTCTTTCTTTCTTTCTTTCTGTGTAATCTCCACCCGTTTTGTCATCAGCGTGGGGAAAAACATAAAAAAAAATAAAAAAAATACTGAATTACATTTAAACAGCCATTTCTCCATCATGACAACTGATTTCAATTCCATGATTGAAAGAGCAATTTTTTTTTCTCTTGCTTTTTTTTTTGTCGCTGTCTATTTTTTTTATTTTATTTATCTTTCATTTTCTTTCTTCCTTTCTTTGCAAAGGACTTTCTTTCTGGCACACTCTCATTTTATAACTCATTATTTTCTTCCTTTCTTCTTCCCTTAGTTGCTTCCTTCTTTTTTAGACTTTGTTTTAACGCCTGTAACAGCTTCTTTCTTTCTTCCTTTCTTTCTTTCTTTCTTTCTTCCTTTCTTTCTTTCTTTCTTTCTTTCGTCTTCTCTTTTTCACCCTCCATTCTTTCTTTTTTCTTCACCCTCCATTCTTTCTTTCTTTCTTTCTTTCTTTCTTTCTTTCTAAGTCATTATTTCCTTCCTTTCTTCCTTCTTTTTGCCTTCCTTCTTTAACTTCGCCTTTCTTTTGTAACAGACTTTGTTTTATCACCTACAATATTTTCTTTCTTTCTTTCTTTCTTTCTTTCTTTCTTTCGTTCTTTCTTTCTTTCTTTCTTTCTTTCTTTCTTTCTAAGTCATTATTTCCTTCCTTTCTTCCTTCTTTTTGCCTTCCTTCTTTAACTTCGCCTTTCTTTTGTAACAGACTTTGTTTTATCACCTACAATATTTTCTCTCTTTCTTTCTTTTTTCTTTCGTTCTTTCTTTCTTTCGTTCTTTCTTTCTTTCTTTCTTTCTAAGTCATTATTTCCTTCCTTTCTTCCTTCTTTTTGCCTTCCTTCTTTAACTTCGCCTTTGTTTTGTAACAGACTTTTTTATCATCTACAATATTTTCTCTCTTTCTTTCGTTCTTTCTTTCTTTCTTTCTTTCTTTCTTTCTTTCTTTCTTATGTTTTCTCTGTCTGTCTTAGTCCTCACTTTTATCTAGTATTCTTTCTTTCTTTCTTTTTTTCGTTGTAACTGATTATTTCTTTCCTCCATTTCTTGTATCTTTTTTCTTATCTTAACTTCTTTTTTCTTTTGAAGGTACTGTTTATCTGGGAATCGCTCTTTTTATAACTAATTATTTCCTTCCTTCCTTCCTTCCTTCCTTCCTTCCTTCCTTCCTTCCTTCCTTCCTTCCCTGTTTGTTTGTGTGATTTTTTCTTTGACTTCTCCAATCCTTACTTTCTAAAACACTCTCTTCTTCATCACTCTTTTTCTTTCTTTCTTTCTTTCTTTCTTTCTTTCTTTCTTTCTTTCTTTCATACACTTTTCTATAAGAAAATCTTTCTTTATTCAAAGCTTTTTTCTGTAAATTTTAAATTCTTTTTACCCTTAATTAATTTCCTTTTTATATAACACTGTCTTTTTGTTTCTATAACATTTTCACTCTTCCTCCTACTCCAACACTTCTCCCTCTCTTACTCCCTCCTTTTGAATTATTCTCATTCCATTGTGCAACACATTCTTTCTTTCTTTCTTTCTTTAACGACTCTGTCTGTGTGTCTGTCTGTCTCTCTCTATCTATCTCTTACTTAGTCTTTCTTTCTTCAATATTTATTCCTTAGTCTATCTTTCTTTCTTACTCAACACGTATCTTTCATTGTTTTTCAGGATCGTTAAACGTTACTGAAGTTTCGACTCAAGGCGATGTTTATCTTCAGGTGTTTCGTCATTGTCACGTTTTTCGATTATTTTCGTGTTTAGTGCGTGCAGTCGGCGCCTGGGTAAATTGTATCGCTGTGGGTGGGAGGCAACAGATCGAATTCATTATTCAGGCTCGAATGACTCTTCGTACAGACACGAAAACGTTTATGTAGAGATTGAAGTTCGAAATAAGTGGAGAGCTGGCGATGATATGAATAATGATTCTACGTCATGAAAATAATGGCCAATTTCAAATCTTTAGTGCCTGAGGATTTTGGCATTTATATTGAAAAATATTTTACACACACACACACACACACACACACACACACACACACACGAGCTTATCTCTCTCCGCTTTCTCTCCCCTCTCTCTCTCTCTCTCTCTCTCTATATATATATATATATATATATATATATATATATATATACAAGTTTCATTAAATGTGACAAACAAGGTAATTTGATTAAGTTTTTTATATAATTTCTCATATAATCTGTATTTTTTTCTTTTCAGTATCAAAATTATATAAAAATTGTACAAATGTTATATTTTTCCAAGCGCTTTACTTTTAGCCATTTTCAGGGATGAAATACATTAATTGTTCATTGGAAATAAATTGTTGTATGCATGCATTTAGTCCTATAGAATGTTTTTTTTTCAAAACAGTCAACATATTGTATCCGTCTTCATAGTTGATATTATCGAGTACTGATTTTTTTCTTGTTTTTATTAATAAGGCTTCCATTATTTTTAGCCTTTTTTACATGTAGCCATTGCAATTATATTTGCATTATCAACAAGTATGTTTCGAATAGTGTCCAGTAGTTGTCCATGACTATTTAAATGAGACCTAATTGAGCTATGGTCAGAAGGATGTAGCGGGAGTCTTCTTGTTAAACATGTTGTAGTGTGACCAATATAATTGTTTACGAATTTTCATTGATCAAGAAAACGATTTCGTAATGGACATTTAAATTCGTAAAAATAATATAAACGTGGATATAATAAGTTGACACAATATCATTTGTCATAGGTGTTATTTATGCTGGAATTTGTTTTCGGTGAGAGAGAAATTTTGTAACCCATTTTAATTTTGAGCATCAGTACCCAAAAAATCCGATCCCTTAATTTGAAACAATAATCGAAGTTTCTTTCTCTTCGAAACGATTGCACCCCGCGTGCCCGCGTAAAAAAAAATGTGTAGGGTGTTTGACCTTTATGTGATCACACATTGACGGGCTTATTTATATAGGTACTATAACCGTCTGATTAGTCAGATTGGCCCTCTCCAGCCGCTCGTTCAGCCCAGGTAAGGACCAAAGGGGATTGTCTCCTGTAAGAGCACTTTAGACCAAAGTTATGGACTGCTCTGCTTACAGGTTTGCGTCCTCATGCTTTATGGGTCGCCAAATAAGTTGGCCTCTTGATGGGGTTTATACTCCTAAGCAGAGGTTGAGTCGGCGTATTATACAGCTTCAGAAAACAGGGCGGAAGTTCCATGTTGAATGTATCCATTAAAGTTAAGATCTATCAATATGCCGTGTGTAACAGCAAAATTGTCCAATTGTTATATTAAGCTTTGAACCGTTGTATCTTAGAAATGATTAAAGACATCTTACTGGAATTCTCCGAGGATTTAATAACACTATTAGAGTCTACTTTGAGAAGTCAGAATGTATAATTACTCTCCAAGCTTAACAGAAGAATTGTGATGAAATCGATCATAAACGAAAATGACATGTTCACCATTAATTAATCATAGCAGAGTCGGAAGCACATGAAGGATTGAAATTTCAAATATATATATATATATATATATATATATATATATATATATATATATATATAATAATAATAATAATAATAAGGCTTAAACACTAATATTTCATGGTAGGAATGTTTTTAAGGAATAATCCGAGTAAATTTTTCCATCTCCATCCGAATAGGTTGGAGTAAAAGCAGTTTATATTTACCACTAATATATATATATATATATATATATATATATATATATATATATATATATATATAATTATTCCACGATCATTTTCCAACTTATTCAAGATGATCATCCCGCTCTTTAACGTTCTAACTTTCTCTCTTGGAGTAACAAGTTGCCTCACAGATTTTTACGTACGATTTCATTTTCAAGTCTTTTTCACTGCACTTTGGACTGTCATAGCTGAAACTTCTCTCTCACGTGTCAAACGTATCATATGGATTGAATTGGATCTTTTCTAATTGATCCATTTAGTTCTAAGCTGGAATGATGATCCTCTTGCTGTCGTGACCTCCTAATCCAGATGTTAATCCATTGTTTCCTCTTTAGAATTGATTTTCCGGTTTCTTCTAAAGTATTCTCATTATCTTTCACTCCTCAATAACACCTTGCGTCTTAGTGGCATTATCGCCTTGCTTGAGGTGAAATGATAAAAAAAAAACAGTTACATCCAAATTGAGGATAAACTGCCCAAAATTCATATTATTTTTCTAATACTTTTGACCCTCTCAATCATTATCGGGAACCTGGTCCCAGATCGCAAACAACAAAAAATACACCGATAAATAGCAGATATCAAGAAAAAAAAACTATGCAGTGCTCACGACAAGGAAAGATGCAAAATACTCTACGTTATCCTCATACGAAAGAACACCATCCGGATAAGTAAAATAATAATGATATTTATTTCATGAACTACATCTCTCAGATGCTCCGGCAAACATTGTCACTGATGCCTTTAGTCGCAGGGTTTTGGTCTTTTAGCTGTTAGCTACAATTCTTCTCATAATGGAAGGCTATGCTAACCTACTGCGATAAAAAGTACTCGAAATATTTAAGCTCATCTGTCATGATCTTCCGTTTCGCTTCTGATGTGTTCAAAGTACGAGCTGAAAGTTTAAAATGTTCTACGGTGACCTCATAGATAACGGTTATTATTTCTGGGGAAAAACCAAGATGTAGCCAACGGAAACATATCTACCGCGCAAGAACAAAATGGTTCTTGATAATGACGAAGAGGTCGAATATAATTGAACAAAACAAGAGAGCAAACATGACGTTCGCACTCTTCATGCATAAATTCGACCCTAATATACAACATTTATTCGCAAAAATGCAATAAATAAAACAGGCATTGTGGATTGTACTTAATAAAACTTGTCTGGAATATATATATATATATATATATATATATATATATATATATATATATATATATATATATATTTGTATATATGTGTGCCTATATATATATATATATATAAATATATATATATATATATATATATATATATATATATATATATATATATATATATATATATATATATATATATATATATATATATATATATATAATAATGCTAAATTATTTTATATTTATATATATATATATATATATATATATATATATATATATATATAATTTATAAATTTAATTAAAAAAAAAAAACATACAACCTTAAGGTTCCATTGATTATATTTTATTTCCCCAGGAATGTGCTTTTCCTGGTTCCTCGGATCATTTCCAAGCATATATATATATATATATATATATATATATATATATATATATAGAGAGAGAGAGAGAGAGGGAGAGAGAGAGACAGACAGACAGACTATTCGACATTTCGACATAGAGGGTGTTGATTTCATATAATGTCTTTGTAAAACTATTCTTAATTAGTGTGATGTTCTGTGTTGGGAGGGCGAGATTCCAAAACAGCTTCCAACCATATTTGATTGCGTAGAATGCAATTTCTTCTTTCACTTTCACTTTCACTTTCATTTTCTTTATTCCTATGAAGACCTTTTCAAAACGAAGACGCCGAAATCAAATCTGCCTGCATTAATCTAATCGTTTCTCTTGCTACTTATTTTCTCTTCCGTCAAAACCCATTTAATACAATGGCGTGCATGTCAACATTTACTTAACTGCTATAAAAGAAAGAATGAAAATGTGTAAGTGAATGCCAAAAACAAAAACAAAAACGAATTAATAAAATTAACATGGCTGACTCAGCCATGGCTTATTGAAGCTTAAATTTTATTTGGTGTATCAAGTTCAACAGTAGCAAAAAATGCTTAAAAGCTTATGATTGGATATTTTTTTGGTGTTGTGGAGGTTGATCACGTGCCGATAATTGTCGTATGTTTACATCTGATATTTGCTGTTAAGATGGTTTTCCTCCTTTGCGAACTTTGAATTAGCTAATTAAGATCGTGAGAAACCTGTTAATTTTTAAAATAAGTCTCATGCATATAGCATTATCGAGATGCACATATGTAAGATGTTCTTCGTGTGTCTTTCTTGTATCTATCAGTGCGGAGGTGCTGACAATTATCCAATTTGCCGAAGAAGCGTCCGAAAATAATTAGATGTTTCGTAATTTGATCAGAATTTTCATAATGGATCGGTCCAGTATATTCTAATCTCTCTCTCCATACCTACCTACCTACCTAACTCAATCCTTCCATCTATCTATCTATCTATCTATCTATCTATCTATCTATCTATCTATCTATCTCAGACTGTATTTATGATAATTTTGCATTCTAGACAGAAGTAATTAGGAAATAACACATACTGAACGAAGACAAAAAAGAATGTCAAAATTGTGTTACACAGTGTTTTTTTTTTATTACATTTACTTATATTTAGATTTATATCAGTAAACTATTATTGTTTTTTTTATTTCAGTAAATTGTTTATTTATTTATTCAAATGTTTTTAAATTTTTATTTTATTAATTTTTCCGGGGTTGGTTATCCTTTTGCATAGTTTAAAAAATTAGCATTTTCTGCATATATATGTATATAATGCATATATTTGCATTTTCATGGTAAAATTTTACAAGGTAAATTTTTTAGTTTTTCAATTTTTAAGTAACGTAGTAAAAATTTACTTTTTCTGTCTGCATGTTGAGGTAAGTTTTTATCATTTATTAAGTAATTTATGTTGATCTGATGAGGTTATTATAGCTATTTCATCCTCCAGACAGAACTTTTGAATTTATTGTTGTAGGCTGATGCATTTTTCCTTATTTTCATGACATTTTGTTCTATTTTTTTTAAAACTTTATTTTCTCATATATGTTTAGAAAGGGTTATGCTGTTCGCGTATTTACTATTGGTAAACAATGATTTACATGTTCAGTTACTCCTATGAATACTTTTTCGTTATCTATGGATTTTACAGTGGCTTTGTATATTACATTGGTTTGTAATTAAGGGGCATTCTTCTTTTGCTCAGCATTTACTGGTGGGTTTGGTTCAGGCGATTTGTTAGTTATTTGTCTGTTGTGTTTTTTAATAGTTGTGTCATGTTCTCGGTGCAGGCTTATTTTCAGTGTTTCTGTTGAATATATTGTGGAGAGAGGTTGATGGGGACAAAGTTGATGAATATGTTTCCTACGTTTGTTTTTTAGGTTTTGGTCGTACGAAATGTTTTAAATCATATTATGACTCTTTTTACTGTTGGATTTTTACTACTGCGTTGTGTGTATGAGTGCATTACCGAAAATGCTCTTTTAATGCTGTTTCACTGAAAGAATTGTCAGATTCAGTGTGACGTCAAGAAACTCTACTTATACTTTTGTTCTTATGTCGGTGTATGAGGATCGTAATAGAAGTTTCTCCTGTCCATTTGCCTGTCTCTATAAACGCTCTTTCTCAGATGCTGGGTACACTTCTCTATAGATTTTAAACTATATATGTATATAATCCTGCCTTTAGTTTATCTATATTTATATAGGCTTAATAATAAATATAAATTTTGTCACTTAGCTCATCACATCCACTCCAGAGTTTCGTAGACGAAATTTTATAACCTCGAGTTACTTTTGGGTTTTGTCCAGCGGAACATCATTTTGAAAAATGTAAGCAAGAATACCCAATTGAATTAAATGGGTTTTGACGGAAGAGAAAATAAGTAGGAAGAGAAACGATTAGATTAATGCAAGCAGATTTGATTTCGGCGTCTTCGTTTTGAAAAGGGCTTCACAGGAATAAAGAAAATGAAAGTGAAAGTGAAAGTGAAATGTATGGGTTTGACTTCCGAGTTTTCCTTCTCTCAGACGTGTTGCCAATGTAGGAAAGACGCCTATTTATCCATGCCTTTTCCAATTGCATTAGTTCGAAACTCGGCGCCGATTTCAGTTTTTGCACCGATAACCGCTACCCTGACTACATACTACTGTTTATAACGAATGGATCGAACTGTTCGATCCATTCGTCACGAGGTATCAGAAAATGTCTGCCAATTTTGTCGTTTTATTTCTTTTTATATTAAGTCAAAAAATAATTTATGCGCATTTATGATTGATTTTTTCTTGTGTGCGTGCGTGTTCGTGTGTGTGTGCGCATGCGTGTATTTATGTCTGTGTATGCGTGTGTGCGTTCCGTCTTTTCATAATTGGCCTCTTATATTCTCTCATTATACCTTTTCTTTTCTTCATCTTTCGGCTCTAAGTGTCAAAAGATGATGCAACAATGTTATATCCGGTTTTTGAGACGACATGTATTTAGCTTCGGGAATATTCTGAATTTTTTTTAAAGGTTTTGAAAATATATCGTTGTGTACCCATTTTTTTTTTACTTTGTTTTTTCTTATTGTTTAAATATCTAAATTTTTACAATTGATTGTTAAATAATTATTTTTTTAAAATTATGTTGAAATGACAAAGAATATATTTGTTTATATGTCTACACTTACCCATTATTTCGTTCTTTTTATTTATTAGTTAATGGGTTGTTTTTTACTTGGCTTACTGTTGTTGTGTTGAATCTCAGAATAAACAACAGGTTTCCTTGACATGGTGCAGTTTCTTTCAGTCAAACCCTTGTGGTTTAAAAATTAGCCTTCGGCAAGATCGTTACCCACGAGAGAAAACAAAACAATTTCTCGTAGTAAACCAGATTTTACTACTAAGAGCAAGCAAAGGCGTGTTGAAGTGTAAGTGAAGGAGGAGGTGCGCATTTCCGCGGCCTTGGTTTGTCTTTATGCGTGGCACGCTACATAGATTCTGTTTTACTTTGCGAGGGATGGCCAGCTTTATAGACAACAGTTTTCTTTGTTCTGTCATCTTCGTCCACCCCCCAAAAAAACAAACCAAAAACAAATAATCATCCGTCACTTTCTCTCAGTCACTCCCATGACTCCAGTAACTGATAGCCATCGGTTGAAAGTAAATGTTCCCTAACTAGTTGACTTCAATTTAACACATATGGCTACACTGTTATCGTATTACATTGTTAATTAAGGAAGTTATATTTATAACTGTATATATGATGGTCTGGGTATATATATATGTATATATGATTGGGTTTAGCATGAAGCAGACTGTCGCTTCTGGGTGTTGAATTTAATGTACACATTTACATTTACATACGCTCTATCGCTGATATTAAGCACTTTAACCCATAACTATAGCATACCTTAACACTATATTTTATCATAACTATAAGCATTCACATTCAAGAACACACACACACACACACACACACATATATATATATATATGCATATGAACATATATTAATATAGTAATTATATTTAAACGACAAAATAAATGATTTTTTAAAAATATTTATATATCGAGAGCGTAGTCATGTATTTTAATTGACCTCCTGATTTTAAAACTTAAAAGCTCTACATGTTATTTTTACTTATATTTTTTTCTCACGTGTATTGAGAACTTTTTAATACTACTATTCCCTGGGCTGATTAAACTCTGACCCTTAACGTTTATGTACAAAGTTTATGCGTATATGCGCCTGTCTGCGTATTCTCTAAATGTAAAGTTATAAGCGCAGCATAATTATTAATTGACTTTCCAACTCTTGAGAGTAGTTGTAATTGCACACATTCAATTTGAACGTTAGCGGCATATATATATATATATATATATATATATATATATATATATATATATATATATATATATATATATATATATAAACCTTACTCCTGAAAGACAAGAAAAGGTAACGGTGCTGTAAAAATGTAATAAAAAGTTAATTAAATCTTTCTCGTCTGCAGTATTTAAAGAAAGATTTTGAAAGATTTTGAAAGATAGGCTGTTGCCCAATGTTGACCAAACATACTTATCTATCTATCTATCTATCTATCTAAGCACATTCATATCTATCTATGTATCTATTGAAGCCCATTCATATCTATCTATCTATCTATCTATCTAAGCACATTCATATCTATCTATGTATCTATTGAAGCCCATTCATATCTATCTATCTATCTATCTATCTATCTATAGATAGATAGATAGATAGATAGATAGATAAACAAGTTTTGTCAAAACTTGTCTATATTATTTAATGAAACATGTATAAAAAATTGCTGCCTAAATATACACAATTTAAATATATATATATATATATATATATATATATATATATATATATATATATATATATATATATATGTAAGGAAAATAATGAGGCTTTTTGTTTATTAATTCGACGGAATTTTATTACTTAAATTGTATTTTTAGTAGACATTCCGTTTATTTATAAAAATGATATTTATCCACACACACACACACACACATATATATATATATTGATAGATAGATAGATAGATAGATAGATAGATAAACAAGTTTCGTCAAAACTTCTCTATATTATTTAATGAAACATGTTTACAAATAATTGCTGCCTAAATATACACAATTTATATATATATATATATATATTTGTAAGGAAAGTAATGAGGCTTTTGTTTAATCATTCGACAGAATTTTATTACTTAAATGTTATTTTTAGTAGACATTCCGTTTATTTATAAAAAGGATATTTATCCATGCACACACACACACACACACATATATATATATATATATATATATGTGAAAAATTTCTCAGAGTTAACCTGTAGAAAAAGACAATGTGTTTAAAAGTATACCTTTCTATGTACATTTATTCATATTGTCTTTTTCTACAAGTTTACACTGAGAATTTTTTCCTATTTATCGACATGGAAAACAAAAGCGTATACACAGACATAGTCAGAATATACATGCAACGACTAACATCCGGCTATTTATATAAAAACAAGAAAAACTTAGAAACTGCTTTGATGAAAAAGTTATTCAATTCGCACACAAGCTCATCAAATTGTCGTAATCTTCTTATGCCTATGAATTTTTGAAATATTCAGTACAGGAATTTGAAGAAAAAGAAGCCATTCTTTTTAATAAGGGCATATATGAGAGAAGGTCACCTACAAAAGACACGAACGGAATGAAATAAGAAGATCAGTCAAATCTAATGATAAGAATGTCTCTATTTTTCAAAATAATCTCAATAAAGAGTCTGTCTATATTTCTGAGATGAGGTATTATGTACAGTATTTACATTAGTCGGACTATTGTCCTCATCTTTGTCGCCATATTTGTCACAACGTTTCGGCCGTTGTATGCTCCGGCGTTCTTCAGGTGGTTGGAATTTCGAACTGAACCCTTTATTATTTTACTTTATTATCTACTATTTTAGTAGACTGTTCTAGTTCCACGTGCCATGTTTGATGGATGTCAGTTATCAGTTACCTCCTGCTAATTTTCCATCTGAAAGTTCTCCACTACCTTGACCAGGTATTGAACTCACCTACTTTGGGTCTATCACTGGAGCTAGCCAAAGCCTTTATCCTTGAGGACATCTGGATATGAACTTCTGAGTATTATAAACCTAATGTTTTTTCAGCATCATTTTTTACCAGTGCTCATATTGCAATTTTGCTGTTATCATTGCATGTCTTTACCAGAGTTCATATTGCAACTTGTTATCATTGATTTTCTCTGGCACTCCTTATTACTCTCAATAAACTCATTAACAATAGCAACTGTCGTCAGAAAAGACCTAATAACAAAGTTATC